TTAAGTTCCTACTAAGTGTCAGAGCTCGTCATCTAGTGGGAGAGGCAAAGAGCACAGACGATGATCGCAGCCTTATGCTAGGTAGACAACCATGTCACCTACTGGGACTCGCGTGAAAAGAAGGAGGTGCTGTTAGTAATGACAATGGGCCGGGGGCCGGGCAAACCAGAATGGGGAGTCTCCTCAGCAGAGGAAGAAAGGGATGCTCAGTTAGCGCAGAGGAGGTGCACCAAAGCCAAGACTTCAGGAGTGAGGAGAGTAGGCTTATTTTACGTAGGGAGTTTGAAGTAACAATGGAAATGAAGTAGAACATTTCCAGCTGAAGATAAGACACAGCAGCTCAGAATTTAAAAACAAAGCAAACCAAAACGAACCAAGATATCAGATTTACTTTTATGGCAGTCACACTTCCGACCTGAGACTAGGAAGAGGAGGGAAAAAAATCATAATTTATGCAAATACCTATGCAAATATTTTACTCTCTAACCGTTCTGCAAAATATATACTCCTGCTGACAGTATATTAGAGCTTCTCCTGTCCCTGTTCCTCAATAGCACTTGATATTAGCTGATTTTCTTGGCCAATCAAGTATGTGATCTAGTAGTTATTTTAATTTTCATTAAAATTATGTCATTTTTAGACATAACTTTGTCTATTTGTAGACATAATTTTTTGAAAATATTTTTATGAAACTATTTTTCCAGTTCACCATTATAATAAAAACCAATTTGTCATCCAACATATTAATATTTCAGAAATCAAATAGTATTAATTAGCTAAGTGCCCTTTTAAATCTCAAACATCCTTTGGTTCGGATGATAAAATTATGTGATTATTCTAGAAAGAAGAGAACAAGGAATTGACCCATGGAATTCACAATGTGGAGATCATTCCAGCTTACTGAGAGAAATAAATGCTAAGTCATTTTGTTAGGAGGTAGGGATAGCAATACTAATTAATTCTTATTACTGATGGAAAAATATAGATCTGTATATGTTTCTTAAAATGTAATATGTAATCGCTAGTAGAACCGATTGGTTTCCAGATGTAGGACGGTCTATTAAGGCATTAGGACATATTGGCGAGAGAAAGAACGAGGCAGTAGAAAATGTGGCTTCTGTCTGACCTGGTTGTGGATGTAATGCTCCACCAAGAAGAAATTAGGAGGACACACTACAGCGAGCTGGCCCAGGGGCACCATCATGAAAATGTCACATGGCCAGGTCAACTTGAATAAAAAGAAACATGGCCATCCTTCTGACAAATTCTAATTGTATTTCAAGCAATTTTTGTTTCATGGATGTAAATGCTATGCTGTTAGGTACCTGAAAGTTTTACGGTCACTACATCCTTTAAGCAGACTGCGTCTACCTTTTATCATCATGCATGCTCTCACTCAAACCCCACACTACAATGTGCTTATTGCACAGAGCTCACATAAAAAGGAAATTTAGGAATTATGTTGGAGGCTTGATGACATCAGGTGTATCGACTACTTGACAGAAGTTCAAGGACTAGGAATCACTAGAGAATACACCATTTTCCAAGGAAAGGTGACACCAAATATATAAAATGTCTAACAGTAATATTGAGAGTCTGACATTTGGGGATATTCAGTCAATCTGCATACTTGCAACAAAAATTGAACACAGTGTAAATTGAGTTTCATGTTCCCAAAGTGCTCTCTACTCAAGAAAACATGTGTAGGAGACTCCAAAATGTGCTTAAAATATATGTATATATATATATGTATTTACATATGTATACACCGCAAAACAATTACTGTACGTAGAATAATGAGCACTCCAAAAGTTATTTTGTACCTTTTGTGATCCTACCCACCTGCTCCACCCATCCCCCAACCAGGTAACTATTGATGTGCTTTCTTTCTTTTTTTTTTTTTTGGTCCCTATAGATAAGTTTGCATTTTCTAAAATTTTTCTGTAAATGGAACTTAGAGTACATTTTGTGTCTGGCTTCTTTCACTTGGCATGATTATACTGTGATTCACCCATGTTGGCATGTGCATTAATGTTTTACTGCTGGGTGGTATTCTCTTGTATCAATATAACACAGTTTGTTTATCCATTCACCTGTTGATTGGCATTTGGGATGTTTCCAGTTTTTGGCTATTACAGATAAAGTTGCAACAAACATTCGTGTACAAGTCTTTGTATGGACACATCCTGTCATTTCTTTTTAGTAAATGCCTAGAAGTAGAAGAGTTGAATTACGTGGTAGGTGAAGTTAAACTTGTTAAGAAATTGCCACTGGTTTCTAAAGTGCTTGTAATATTGTCTTAGTCCATTCAGGCTGCTATGACAAAAGACCGTAAACCAGCTGGCTTATGAACAACAGAAATTTATCTTTCATGGTTCTGGAGGTTAGCAAGTGCAAGGTCATTATGCCAGCAGATTCGGTGCCTGGAGGTCCCAGGTCCTGGTTTGTAGGTGGTTGTTTTTGTGCCGTGTCTTCACATGGTGGAAGACGGAGGATGCTCTCTGCACCCTTTTTTATAAGGGCATTAATCCCACTCAGGAATGCTCCATTCTCATGATCAAATCACTTTCCAAAGCCTCCACCACCTGATAGCATCACATGGAGGGTTAGGTTTCAACGTATGAATTTTAGGGGGACACAAACATTCAATCTACAGCAACCATTTTAGGTACATATATACCAGCAATGTGTAAGAGTTCCGGTTCCTCCGCATCCTTACCAGCATTTGGAACAGGGAGTCAGGTTTCTCCCGAGAAACAGAACCAATTGGATATCTATCTGGTAGCTAGAATGAGGTTTCTCGTAAGGAACTGGCTCATGATGATGATGGAAGCTGTAAAGTCCTACAGTGTGCTGTCTGCAAGCTGGAGAACCCGGAGGGCTAGTGGTGTGACTTCCAGTCAGAGTCCGAAGGTCTGAGAACCAGGAGCATGGATGGTGCGAGCCCCAGGCGAAGGGCAAAGATTGATGTCTCAGCCCGGGCAGTCAGTCACAGAGAGCCAATTCAACCTTCCTCTGCTTTACTCAGTGCACCAATTCAGATGCTAACCTCTTCCAGAAACACCCTCACAACACACTCAGAAATAATGTTTTACCAGCCATCTGGGTATCCAATGGCTCGGTCAAGTTGACACATAAAATTAACCAACCCAGTGAGTCTTTTTAATTTTACCCATTTTAAAGGATGTGTAGAAGTACCTCATTGTGGTTCTAATTTGATTTCCCTAAAGGCTAATGATGTTGAGCATCTTTTCATGTACCTGTTGGCCATCTGTATGTCTTCTTTAGAAAAATGTCCTTTCAGAT